ATGGTGGTGGGTTATTGTGGAATCCACAAACTTATCCCAGACCACTAATTCATTGGTTACCATCTCCGGGAACATGTTTCATCTTGTTCAGCCTTGACATTTTCAACGTCATGGTCTCCTCTCAAATCCAGCTGCTCCGTCAATACTCATTAGCATCCCTGCCTTGATCTGCCTAATAGCTTCGCTAGCCACATTTAGCCTCTCTCACCCTGACAATCTGATGATTTAATATACCCCGGCTAATTATCTATTGTCTTGCAGTCAACTTGCCAGCTCCTGATGGGTAATTCAATTGTCCCTTTCAACAAAGCTGAACCTTTTCAAAGGATGCCCTCTCAAAGCAAGGGGCTGGGGAAGGAGAAGACCTCTGACTGCAATCGAAGAAACACCTGTAGATTTTTAATGGGCCAGAAGAACTCCATCCCTCCTTTTTATTTTGTGAATTTGGCCTACAAGGGATACCCTAAAATCTACCCCGCCTGCTAGTTTATGCATCAAGTTAATAGATGCATCTAGAACAGGGGTCAGCAACCTGCGGCTCTGGAGCCACATGTGGCTCTTTCACCCCTGTGCTGCGGCTCCCTGTCACTCAAAATATGCGTCACAACTGCCAATGTGTGACACCTGCTGGCACACAATTTATTGAGCTTTTCAATCCCCGGTAGGCCAACCATGGATAAATCCAAGAAAAGAAAAGTTTCAGAAGAAAACAAAACATTTAATTCAATTACCCAATAAGCTGACTTTGTATAAAAAAAGAACACCGCGTAGGGGCCCCCGAAAGCCCTACTAAGCAGGTATATACAAAAGTATGAAGGCTACTGCTTAACGCATTGTAAACCGCCCTGAGTCTCCAGAGAAGGGCGGCATATAAATTGAACCAATAAATAAATAAATAAATAAATAAACTATATATGCTAGTTTTGTGGCCGCTCAGGAAATAGTCAGGCACGGGAAGGGTTTTGTGGCTCCCGGTGTTTTCTTTTCTGTGGGAAATGGACCCAAATGGCTCTTTGAGTGTTTAAGGTTGCAGGCCCCTGACCTAGAATACTGATGCTTTGGATATGCAAGGGGATGTTTGCTCTTTGTAATTTCATGCAAAACAAAACATGGTGTGCTGCAGAGGTGGGCTTCAGCAGGTTCTGACCTTTTCTGGTGAACCGGTAGTGGAAATTTTGATTGGTTCGGAGAACCGGTAAATACCACCTCTGACTGATCCTGCCCCCATCCATTCTCTGCCTCCCGAGTCCCAGCTGATTGGGAGGAAATGGGGATTTTGCAGTAACCTTCCCCTGGAGTGGGGTGGGAATGGAGATTTTACAGTATCCTTCCCCTGCCATGCCCACCAAGCCACACCCACAGAACTGGTAATAAAAAAAAAAATTTGAAACCCACCACTGGTGTGCTGTCTTCTCCAGACATGTTGGGGCAGTCAATCAAAGATCACTTGAGGATGGGAGGTACTTCTAATGTAATCTACCAGATCCCCTGCATGGATTGCCTCTGTGACTATTGTAGACAGGAAGGAAGCTAACAACCAGATTGCAAGAACACGTGAGCAGTCAGACGATGAGACCCAAACTCATTGCAATGATCAAGGATATACATTCAATTTTGCAGCTACTAAGATTGTTGGTCGAGCATGTACAAAAACAGCCAGGGAAATGATTGAAGCCTGGGAAACAAGCCCTTGGTCAGTAAACAGGAATGCTGATTTACCACCAGCTTATCCAATACTAAGGACTTGGACTTGGTAACACAAGGAAACAACAGCCAATGACGTTAGCCAGCCATCAGCACTCCAATCAACAACTAAAAAGCCACACACAACCAGGCACCACATAAATACTATGCATAGAATAGCCTGAAGCACACATTCTTGGTAAGAGAGAAGTTCTCTAAGGATGGGCTCCAGTACCAGTCTCAGAATCTTGGAGACCAAGTAAACGACTCATGCCTGAATTATGTAAGTCTGAACTAGTTGATTTTTTCCCCCTACAACAGATGAATCCATATATCATGTTGAGTCTTAATGTTCTGACATTATTTAGATACATTTAGCCAAGTTTAAGATACTGTACAAGAAATTAAAAGATGCTTGCTCCTGGGGAGGAAAGCCATGGCAAATCTAGACAGCATTCTAAAAAGCAGAGACATCACCCTGCCAACCAAAGTGCGTATAGTCAAAGCTATGGTTTTCCCAGTTGCAATGGATGGCTGTGGAAGTTGGACCATAAGGAAGGCTGAGCGCCAAAGAATGGAGGCCTTTGAACTCTGGTGCTGGAGAAGACTCCTGCGAGTCCCTTGGACTGCAAGGCCATCTAACCAGTCAGTCCTAGAGGAGATCAACCCTGACTGCTCTTTAGAAGGCCAGATCCTGAAGAGGAAACTCAAATACTTTGGCCACCTAATGAGAAGGAAGGACTCACTGGAGAAGAGCCTAATGCTGGGAACAATGGAGGGCAAAAGAAGAAGGGGACGGCAGAAAACGAGGTGGCTGGATGGAATCACTGAAGCAATAGGGGTGAGCTTAAATGGACTCCGGGGGATGGTAGAGGACAGGAAGGCCCGGAGAAACGTTGTCCATGGGGTCACAATGGGTCGGACATGACTTTGCAACCAACAATAACAACTACAAAAGACACTGTAGCGTTTATTGAGAACACCAGATATAGTTTACCTCTTGTTAGCTTTAATTTCCCTTCTACTGAACTATTGTTCAGTAGAAGCAAGCAGTAGTAGCAAGCAGGGGGAGATTATTTCCTTTTGAATGCATGTTTATGGGATTTAAATTTACATGAATGTTTTTGAGTTCTTTAGTACAAAATTCCTGTTTCCAGTTAGGGCTCCAGCACCAAAAGCTAAACCTTTGCTTTCATTCGTCAATGGAACGTCTCTTTTTCCTTACATTGGATTCAAGTTGTCAGATGTTGGAGACATCTTTACACCTTGAGAAGTCTGTTAAGAGTTATTCTTTCAGGAACTCCGCCAAAAAAAAAAAAAAAAATCCCAGCCTCCAAACCATTGGGATAGTCCAAAGCAATAATGGGATTCAGCCGGTTCAGGCGGTTCAGGCGAATCCCACTATTGGCTCCCAGGAGGCTGCAGGGAGGCCTACTAGGCCCAAAATGGGGCACAGGGTGTGTGTGGCGTGCCCCCTCCCCCCGTGGACTGTTTTTCCTCCCAGGGCCTGTCACGCCCCCTGACCACGCCCACCATGGCCACACCCACCCAGCCAGTCATTAGGGCAGAGAACCGGTTGTTAAATTATTTGAATCCCACCATTGGTCCAAAGAGATACTTTGATGATTGCATCCAACAATTCTAGGTTCAGTGTTTCACAATGCTTTTCTTTTATGCTGAATAGGAACGTTTGAGTAATGAAGACTCCGCACAGTGTAAGAAGATTTCCATCAATTTTTTCCAGCTTGGGTGATCACAACCCAGATATATGAGATCTCTGGGTAATAAATGACCATAGGGCCATGATATAAATCTTCTTTTGTTCAAAAAGGAGAAATGTAAAGCAAATATCCCATAATGTAGTTTTATCATTAGCTATAAATAAGAAGAGAGAGATGCCTGCTGTTTCACTACATTTCCAAGGAAGGTTGGATACACGCTGGAAAAGACATAGTTGGAAACTCATAGTGCGTGTCAACTCACCCAAAGATGCTTGAACCCTGCTAAGATCTTTGCAGATTCAAACCTGGAAGCCTCAAAGTTAAGCCTTCCTGTTGTGGCTCTGTTGCCTGAGCCTGGGCTATCGACAGATGCAGACTCTGAGAGTGAGGAAGAGGAGTTGGCAAGGCCTCCCTCTCCAGGACCCTCCTCTCTGGCAATGCTTCTGGAGGACACCGAAGGCCAAAAGATAGGCTCAGAGCCAAGCACGTCCCCGTAGCCACAGGTGGACAGTGACGAAGGAGATAAGTGCTGGCTGGACCCTCGCCAGAGGCGCAGGGAGAAGCGTGCGCAGCAGAGGGGAAGGCATGCCAGAGATTAGCTGAGTCACTGGACCATACCCCACAGGGTATAAATGGCCGGTTCAGTTTGTGATGAGCAAAAACTAGAAATAATCCATGATCTCTGTGTTACTGGACTTTGCCTGCTTTATCGGACTGCATTTGGATTAATCCTTGTATTGTTGAAAACTCTGCCTGTTTTATCGGAATGCTGGCAGTCTAATCTTTGTTTTGTGTGAGTAAAGTCTGAATTGGCAGCTAGCCACTGGGTTGCTGCCAGCTTTATCTTCAAAGAGTTTTGTTGTGTGGCTTATTAACTCCAGGCCGTCTGTAGGGGTGTGTGAGTGGAACGGGGACAGAACACTTCCCAACCCAGTGTCCACCCCAGTCTGATTCAGAGCAGGGGTATCAAACTCAAGGCCCCAGGATGGGCCAGATCCATCCTGGAAACAGCAAAGGATTGGCCCACGGTGCCTCTGCCAGTGAAAATGGAGCTCAGTAGGGCTGCATGTGGCCTTCCTACGCTCTGTTTTTGCTGGCAGAGGGTTGCAGGAAGCTGTCGCAGCCAAAAATGGAGCTCAGGAGCTTATTTTCTCTGGTAGAGCACTCGGGCCACCATAGGTGCCCCTGACATGAGTGACATCAAGCTGGCCACACCCCACCCTGGCCACGCCCTCTCTGCCCCTCCCACAAGGCTTAAAAGAGGAGCAAAGACACATGGGCCCTTTGCAGGAAAGCAACATTGTTAATTCTGTTCCCAATCAGCATCTCTGTTTGATTCTGGACTCCGTGTGGCTTTGCCAAGTAGGTCTTTGGCAGAGTGTCAAGGGAGATAAAGGTTGGTGATTATCCCGAAGGACTTCTCCCAAAGGACTTTTGGCAACTAATTGAGACTCAGCTGTGAATGAACGTAATTCACAGCTGTTGCAATAAAAGAGTTTTTTGGGATTACTCGTGTGTTTTAATGACTCAGGAAGCCCAGGTCACAACAGAGACAATGAGAGAACACAAGTCAACGGATCAAGAAAGCATGCGTACCTGAGAATAAATTGATCCACCGTGATATTGTTGGTAACTGTCACAGAAGCACTCACGACTTCTCCCTGTTTGACGGGCTTCAACGGCAGCTGGATGACAATGTTGCTGTCCAACCACAACTCAGTCAACTGAGAACTCTCCGGTGCCTGGTGGAGACTGATAGACCCAATGCGTTGTAAGTGGGACATCCTTTCCCCTGCCCCTTCTTTTCCTGGACGGATTGCATTACCCTTCCGTAGGTCTTCAGTAATACACTCCCCATTTTCACCTCCAGGGTGGATCGCGTAATAAAGCTCTACCGAGATCCCATCAGACCGGTCGGCCATTTTCTTACGGCCGGTGACAACTGTGGGTGGGTTAAACCAGGTTGGCTGAAGATCTAAACTAGCCACGCATAATCCCAGGTCTCCTTTCAGTCTGCAGCTACCCCGGACTCCCAACGTTTCCCAAAAGGCAAAAACATGCATGCAAGGAAGCTGTTCAGACATGCTGTAGTCATCCCAATCTCTCCCCACAATGTAGAAGAGAATCTGGACTTTGGGCTTCGTCAAGTAGATCTTTTCACTCATGATATAGGTTTTCAGCTTCCAGTTGAATGTAAACTTGTTGGTGGACCCAAAAGAACTGGAAGTCAACAGCAGATCCTGAGGGACATCATGTTCCACCAAGAACGGTCCATAGCTAACGCTGACGATGGGCCTCTTCTTAGTTTTGTATGTAAAGAAAGTTTCCACGCGAGATTGCAAACTTGAGTTTTTTATAAATTCACGGTTGGCTTCTCGAAGGAAAAATGAGGACTCGGTGCCAGAGATCTGATATTTTACAGGTAGATATGCTGATAAAGATGAAAATTTCTGGACATTGTCCAAGGCAACACGTCCCATGGCCACTATTATAGGAAAAAAAAAAAAGAGGGGGGGGGGGAAAACCAGAATTAAACATTTAATTTGTTAGGTGCCAAATAGAAATAACTTAATCGGAGATACATACTGATACGAGGTTGAGACCTATCACATTATTTTTATTAAATTTGATTTACAGTCTTAGACCAGAGACCAAAACAAATAAAAGCACTCAGTATATATACACTTAAAAATTCTAGTATAAAATAATAAATAACAACTAAAATCTATAATAAAATCCAGTGTCAATTATACATGGTCTGACTATACAAAAGTTGCAATCCCTAAATTGAGTGGCCCGTTATAGATTCCTATCACACTGTCTTTTCAGCTTAACAAGAGGTGCTGCGGTGAACTATAAATTAACAATGGAAACCTCTGATAAAGAAAACTTATATAAAATGTTTTATAGATGGCATTTACCGCCTGCTAGGTTAGCTAAAATGTTTAAAAACATATCTAGCAAATGTTGGAAATGTAACCAAAAAAACCGGGCACATTATATCATATGTGGTGGACTTGTGATAAAGCAAAAAGAAATTTTGGGCAAAGATACACTTTGGCTAGAAAAGATGATAGGTAAACATGCAAATTTTAAACCTGAACTGTTTTTATTAGATATAATATCAGAAAAATTAGATAAGAAAATTTAACATTACATGTCGTAACAGCAGTGAGGATTATATTCGCACATTGGGAAAAAGAAGAAACACCGCAAGATGAAGAGATAATTAAGAAGATACCGGACTGTGCAGAAATGAATAGATTGACATTGAAAATTACCGTATTTTTCAGAGTATAAGATGCACCTTTTTCCCCCCTAAAGGGGGTGAAAATTTAGGTGCGTCTTATACACCGAATGTAGCCCCGCCCACCCACTGGTCCCCACCCTTTGGCCTCTGCCTCGCAGCAGTTACCTCCTTGCAGCAAGAAGGAACAGCTCGTTTCAGTTTCAGCACAGCCTAATTAGCACAAATTGATTGTCCCTTGGCCTCCTGACTCTCAGCTGTTTTTTGCGGGCCTCTGCTGCTTGCTGCAAGGAGGGAAATTGCACAGCAGCACCTCATGAACATCAGAGCTACTTTCCCCAAGCTCGGTGCAAGACATTGTCAAAGTTCTAGGAGAGATTTATCCTGCAGTTTGAAGTGGTCGAAGAGATTATATCCTCTTCTTTTGAGACTGTTCCAAAGAGCAGAGTGTCCGGGTGCTGATGGATGCCCTAATTAAATCATGAGCCTTGAGCCAAGCTTCAAAAGAAATCCAGTTATTTATTAGGAGCTTCATGTCGGCAGGTTCCCAAATGAAGCGAACTCTGACCCCACGTAATTTACAGCCCAGGCTTGACCCTGTTTCCCCCCTCTCCCCAGAGTGTGTCATGTCACATTTGCCAACAGAGCTATTTCGCTGGTTGTAGAGATCACTCCCCTTCGGCCGCTGTGAATAACCCTGGGAGACAGCCTTGAGAGAGATATGCCTGGAATGTGCTTTTATTTTTGGCTGCCATGCTGCTTCACCGTTTCCCATCCCCCTTGCCTATGGCAACTTGAGAGCAGGCCAGGGATGGTTTGCAAGTTGACACAGTTGAATGGAAGGAACAAGAATAGATAATTCATCACACCTTCAACCAAACAATGACTCCCAAGTTCCTGCTTGGGGAAAGCTTAGCAACTAATGTATACACCATGCAGTTTACTTTTTAACCCTTTGAGGTTCCGTTGGGTTCCATTTATTTATTTATTAAATTTATTTGCCACCCATCTCATCACAAGGAGCTTGGTTCAACTCAGCTGTTTATACCTATTTTAGCGCTGGGATTTCAGCCTGTGAAATATCGGGCACAAGTTGGATATATAGTCTAAAATGTAAAAAAAACGAAGACTAAATGGATAGGTTGACATTAAAGATAAAAGATAAAGAAGACACAGAATATTTTCAAACATGGGACTTATTTTATCAATGGTTGGTTAGACAATAGAAGTAGAAATTACAAATTGGAACAAAATACTATTATGTAAGTTTTATATTTAACATATTATTACATTATATACTATTCTGTAAGCATATTAACCCAGACAATATGCCGTTAATACAGCACTTATGTATGTTAAGGAAGAAACGTGATGGCTCAGTGGCTAAGACACTGAGCTTGTCAATCAGAAGATCGGCAGTTCAGCGGTTCGAATCCCTAACACAGCCTAACAGGGTGAGCTCCTGTTACTTGTCCCAGCTTCTGCCAACCTAGCAGTTCAAAAGCACATAAACAATGCAAGTAGAAAAATAGGGATCACTTTGGTGGGAAGGTAACAGCGTTCCGTGCGCCTTCGGCATTGAGTCATGCCGACCACATGACCACGGAGACGTCTTCGGACAGCGCTGGCTCTTCGGCTTTGAAACGGAGATGAGCACCGCCCCCTAGAGTTGGGAACGACTAGTACGCATGTGCGGGGGAACCTTTACGATATGTTAAGGAAAATATATAAATAAACCATTTTAAAAAAGAAAAGAAATACCAAGCACAAGTCGGATATATAGTCTAGCCAGTGGTGAAATCCAATTTTTTTTACTACCGGTTTTGTGGGTGTGGCTTGGTAGGAATGGTGTGGCTTGGTTGGCATGGCAGGGGAAGGATACTGCAAAATCTCCATTCCTTCCACACTCTGGGGCCAGCCAGAGGTGGTATTTGCCGGTTCTCTGAACTGCTCAAAATTTCTGCTACCGGTTCTCCAGAACCTGTCAGAACCTGCTGGATTTCGCCCCTGAGTCTAGTCTAGACTGGTGTTTCATGGCCGGCTGGGAAATTCTGGGAGTTGAAGTCCACCTATCTTCAAGCAGCCAAGGTGGAAAAACCACGGTGTAGGTTGCAAACGGTAAGTTTCTTACGCCGACCCTCAACAAGATGGCGACTTCATTAAAATTCTACCTAGGCAATGCTTTGCAAAATGCCCGTGCCATCTGCCTTCCTGTGAGAAAGAGACTCAGTGGGATGCTACAAGGTGGAAAACTATAAAAAGTCATCCTTCTTTTTCTTCCCCCCCCCTCCTTCACCCCCAACCCCAATGAGGCACCGAGGAGAAGACGGGAAGGAGAGCCATAACTTTCAAATGGTTATTTAAGGTGATGCATCTTCATATATAATTCATACCGAAGAACGCGAGGGTAGAATTCATTTCCTTCCAAATGAGCAAAGTGCTATTAAAATCCCGAAAAATGCAATTTATTAAAAAAAGAAAACATAATAACCGCACAAGACAAGAAAACACGGAGCAGGGTAAGAGCCTGCCAATGAAAAGGAAATCTAATTGACAAGTAAATTATTGTGAGTCCCCATCTCTGTCTTCCTTTGTTCCATCTCCATTTCCATCTCAATCACACCGTAGTCAAAAAAAAAAAGCATCTCGGTACAGATGTTTCGGCAAAGTTGCCGAAAGAGAGCTGTGGGGGCATCATGCAATGACACAACGCATGTGTTGAAGTCCAGCAGTCTCACAATCTCTTGAATAATAGCAATAGCACTTAGACTTATATACCACTCTATAATGCTTTGGAGCCCTCTGTAAGCAGTTTACAAGCTCAGCCTCTTGCCCCCAACAATCTGGATCCTCATTTTACCGACCTCGGAAGGATGGAAGGCTGAGTCAACCATAAGCCGGTCAGGATCGAACTGCTGGCAGTGGGCACAGTTAGCCTGCAATACTCCATTCTAACCACTGTGCACCATGGAAGGAAGGAAGGAAGGAAGGAAGGAAGGAAGGAAGGAAGGAAGGAAGGAAGGAAGGAAGGAAGGAAGGAAAGAAGGAGAAAAGGAATAATAATAGGACTTAGACTTATATACTGCTTTGCAGTGCTTTACAGCCCTCTCTAAGCTGTTTACAGAGTCAGCCTCTTGCCCCCAACAATCTGGGTCCTCATTTTACCAACCTCAGATGGATGGAAAGCTGAGTCAACCATGAGTCAGGATTGAACTGCTGGCAGTGGGCAGAGTTTGCCTGCAATACTGCATTCTAACCAGTGTACACCATGGAAGGAAGGAAGGAAGGAAGGAAGGAAGGAAGGAAGGAAGGAAGGAAGGAAGGAGAAAAGGAAGAACAACAGTAATAGCAATAGCACTTAGATTTATATACTGCTTCACAGTGCCTTACAGCCCTCTCTAAGTGGTCAGGATCAAACTCCTAGCAGTGGGCAGAGTTTGCCTGCAATACTGCATTCTAACCATTGTGCTACCACAACTGCTAACCGAGTGGGAAAACTTTTTATTTTCATTTTTCATAAACACATTTACATGTACAGTCATTTCCATCATTGTTCATTCATCTTTTCTTTTAACTTTCATTTTTCATTTTTACTTTTTCGGGGCTGCTCTTTTACCCTTTACCTTTACTCCAACCTTTCTTCTTCTCCTCCCCTTCTCTTCCTTCCGGTTTCTCCTCCTACTTCCTTCATTCTTCCTCTCCTTCTCTTTCCTACTTCCCCTTCTCTGTGGGGGAAACCCTTGTCTCCTCTCAAAACATTCTTCCTAAAACAGCCACATTTTCTTATGGCCTTTTAGCCAGAAGATCTGCACCCCCCCCACTTGCTTTGAGATGGAGCTGCGGTCAAAAATCAGCGTGCCGAGGTCGGACAAAGAAGGAAGCAAAACCAACAGCAATACCCATTGATTTCAATTGAACTGACCATGTTGTGGACTGAAAGAGTTAATGAGATTGTCCCCTGTGTTATTCTCCATTGCACAGCATGGTCTGTAGTCAACGTTTGAAGGATTAATTCTCCAGGGGACGTCCTGTGGCGCAGGGGTGAAATCCACTTTTTTTTTTTTAATTTGATTTATATGCCGCCTTTCTCCAGAGACTCAGGGCGGCTTACAATGCGTTAAGCAATAGCCTTCATTCTTTTGTATATTTTATATAAAGTCAGCTTATTGCCCCCACAAACTGGGTCCTCAATTTACCTACCTTAGAAAGGATGGAAGGCTGAGTCAACCTTGAGCCTT